TATCTATCTATCTATCTATCTATCTATCTAAATATTAGAATATTTAAGTAGCTTTTTTAAACGTGCCCTAGAAAGACTTACTGGTGTGCATCTTAAGACAAAACAATGACACTGAGATATTTTAAGATATGTCAGTGCAAGTTACTTTCAGTTAAAGATTCAGCTCAAACATTTTATTCTGGGACTAGGCTCAAGCCTTCTCTGTGAAACCGGGGTTAGTGCATCATGGTTTCCACAAAGAAAAAAAAATCTTAAACACTAAACAGGATTTTTCAGAGTATTGATGATGAAAATTCAGCTTTGCCATGACAGGAATAACTTCAATTTTAAATGATATTAAAACAGAAACAGTTACCAGTTCTGTATATGAAGGTAGCTGAGGCTTTGACAGAATATACAGAATATTCCGGAGAGATGAGAATGTCACAAAAGTGGCGTATAGATGGTGCAGTACTGCATAAAAGTTTCTACAGCAACGTTTCCCTTATGAGACTGCCCTGGCATTTGAGTCGTGTGACTTTTAAGGAGAGCGAATGTTCTGTAGGTTTCAGAGAGAAAGGAAATGGATGCATCTGTGGATTTTCATTAAGTACCACACAAGTGCAGGTTTTTGCAGGTACTCAAATCAAACGCCTCCCATATGATTACTGATTGATGTCTGTCTCAAGGTTCCCTGCTAAAGCTTTTAACATTAGGAGTCTCATTTCTGTTCATCCGAAACCAAAAAGGCAGTTTTGCATTTTTAAAGACTGATGCAAAAAAATGTTCCCTATAGAGAACTTATATTATATTCTTGTTTTAAAGTGAAAAAAAAAAAAGTTACACATTTTTTCCCTTTCGTAATGTAATAATTCATGCATCAGAGGGTTAAATTAATGGAATCCATCCATTTAGACCTGATACATATGACTAGTAAGGAGGCAAATGCTACATGATTTGATTTCCAGCTAAAACCCTTAAAATCACATCCTACACACATTATCTCAGAATATGTGCACCAAGCAATATCCAAGGCTCACGTGACTCATATTTTGTATTCCTTCTATTTTCCGCATGACGAGGCCTGGAAAATTGACTCAGCGATGTTTCCATGCAAAGTGGGTTTACTTTTACATTAACATAAATAGGAATGTCTCGGGTCATCAAAGCGGGACGCAGGTGTAGCCACATTGTTAACATTGCAGCGATTGTCAACCCTCAGCAAAGACACAGAAGCATCTCAGATGCAAATGAACAGCACTCTGCCATTCACCGCACCGCTCGCTTCCCTGTCACACGCATGCAAACACACCGTGTGATTTGCGACGACGTTTATGCTAATATGAGCTTATTGTGCAGCAGTCGGCCTGCGTTTGTTGAGCATGTGATGTATCACGGCGTCAAAACTGTTGGGAACCACTGTCAAAACATGTAACGTGACCCTGAGGCACTCAAAATGATCACAGAAGCAAGAATTTCCACCAAAATACAGTAGTTAATAAAGTAAGTTATAGTATTTACCTGGAAAAATATGAGTTGAACCAATAGAAAAGTTTATAAGTTATTGTGTCTCACTAGTCTCATGATGTTGTTCTAACAAGCTATATATATATATATATATATATATATATATATATATATATTTCAAATCATTATTCAGTGCCCAAGCATTTATTATTATATTGGCGATTATCCCTGTATAACATATAGTCAGTTGATCATTATTGCAAAATCACTTACAAGACAATTGTGGCAGTAAATTAAGTAACTAGTATTTTGGTGGAAATAATATAATAAGTAATGAATGCATCATAAATTAATCTAATCCATTTCTTTAGACCTGAACTTGATACATATTTTTAAACCAGAGTGCAACTTTTGAGTTCCGGAAATAATAATAACTCTAATCGGGAAATAGATTTTTAACAATAATTTATAAACAGCCACACTGTGAGCTATGAGGTTGTTAATCGATTGCATTTGCGTCCATTGAAGCTGGTAGCCTGTGTAGTTTCAACTACGTTTTAAAACATCTGACAAGTTTAACATGTTTTACATCAGAATTCATGGTTAAATAAGTACATTACCCATGATGCTGTACAGAAAATTCCACCAATCAGAGCATAAAAATAAGCGAAACACACCAAAAGATCTCTTTAGCTCCGCCCAGTACCATGAAGCACCACAAATTATGGAATCGATTTCGCTCCTTTCGCTCTCAACATACTAAAATATTTAAATATACTGGTATTTTGCAATAAACTTTAAAAAAATATTGTTTTTAAATATAATCAACACTAAAGTTGTTAAGTACACAGTCTTGAACCTTTGTAAGTTTGTAATGTTATGATTTACTTCATAGTTGGTTGGCTTGATTCATGGCTTGATTCAAGCGTTATTCATATAACGCTTAAATACTTTTTGTAAATCCCTATGGGAAAAAGGAATGGAAAAAATACTTCCAGGACCAGCAAAGGAAGCTGAAAAGTAGATGTATATTGCACTCAATATACTTTGTCATAAATTTACTATCAACATTTCTAACTGCAGATATTTTGCATTTGCTTGTTTCAAAACCACAGATGATTTATTTGTGTCTGGAATCTTATGACAGTATATACCATATAATAAATCAGAAGTATAGATATCATTTGAACAGATAACGCCTAAAGAAATGAATTAATCTTCTCAAGACTCCTAATCTCCACCATTCCCAATTTACCTGGGTCTCTTTTCACCTTCTCATAAAAGAAAATAAAGCAGTTCACCCTGGGGACAAAGGACTACACTCGCAACCAAACAAAATGAAGAGCGCAGAGCAATAATCATTTGCATTTCCAACATCTGCTTTCTTGACTGAGACCAATAATTTGTTATTTTGGTGCCTGGAGCACCGTCTTGATATTCAGGTCCCCTATCGAGGTGTTTTGTCACAAGAGTGCATTTTTATGACACCGGAAAAAAAAAAACCCTCCTGTTGGGTGATTTATTTAATCTACTTTCTTTCTTTGTACATTTATTTATTTATTTTATTAGAGGTTGGGGGCTGGCTGGGTAATTGACCCTACACATTTCAGATTACATTAGACACTGCTCTAGCTGGCCGGTCAAACTGAAAGCCATGTAAAATTCAATGTGCATGATACATGGGGCGACTTTCTAGCCTCAGGATTTGTAAAGTACAAAAAAAAAAAAAAATCTCTAGCTACAGCAACAACAACAACAACAACAGATCCTTCCTAGTTGTAAAGAGCCATCAGGACTAAGTCCCTGGGGCGGATTTGTAACAGGGCTTTTTTTTTTTTCCAGGAAGGTCAAATGCTCCGAGAGCTCTAATAGTAATGCCACTTTGAGTGGGGTCGCAGGGGCACAAGTCTACTGCAGGTTGGTGGAAGGTAGAGTGAGCAAGTTCTCACTTTCATGCTCCTTCACTTCATTTTCCATTTTGCTAATGCTGCCATATATCTCCCCGTAGGGAAGGAGGTGGTTTAAACCCCTGGGAAGAAAGCAATGATCTAATATACTGTGCCGTTTTTTAGAAAGACAAGATCTTATGTTAGAGAAGTGGTTCTCAGCTGTTGGGTTGCGACCCAAAAATGACTCTCAGGTCTGATCTGATTGCAGCAGCAAAAAAACAATATATGTATTTATATAATAAATACAATAAGCAAAATAAATGGGCTTTTTTGAGAGAGAGAGAAGACAACTATTTAATTAACTCTAGCATATTTTGGTGTAAAAAAAATATATGAACCAGACTACAAGAAAGGCACTGCAAGAATAAACATGGTTTGTGATCAAAATTAAAGAGAAATTTAAAGGGGACCTATTATGCCTATAATAAGTCTCAGGTGTCCCCAGAATGTGTCTGAAGTTTCAGCTCAAAATGCTCCACAAACATTTGATTATACATTTGATTATATATATATATATAGATATATATATATAGATAGATAAAGAAACTTACCCATATTTAAGTGTTAATAAAAACGAATGCAGTAAGCTAGATTCTTTTTTTTCTTTTCATATAATGCATGTTCAGATATTCATACAACAAAATAATATTCTGTGGGCAGAAAATCAAAGGATGAGTACAGGTAAAGGTATATTTAAAGTACAAAAATAATACCAAAACAGGAACATAGTTGTATACTTGGAGTGCAAAAATAATATATAAATAGTAAACTGTAAGTTTGATGTTAAGTTTCCTCGAAGAAAACCACTAAAATAGTAGTTTACTAAGAGAATACTTCAAAGTGGACTTTCATAAACTAAAAAAGTGCTACAAGTATTTAACTAAAAAACTACCAGAATACATATGTTCACTTGTAGTACAGTTACAGTACAAAAAAACCAAAACAAAAAAAACCATAGTTGTAAATGTTGCATTGACACTTATAGTATACTTTTATACACTAAAAAGTGGGCCAATTTAGTCCCAAGTAGCATGAACACTTACAAGTAGTTACTAGTACATTAATATTAGTATACTTTAGTATACTAGTATACTATATTTATACTTTAGTATATAGTATACTAGTATACTATATTAGTATACTAGTATACTATACTCAAAGTATAAATATACTCAAACTTAAGTATACTTAATAAAATCAATTTTAAGTATACTTATTTTTTTTAAGGTTTGGCAAAGCACTTCTAGCACTACTACAGAAAAGTATTCCAGTAGCTCTACTTAACCAACCAATCCAGTCACCAACAAAATAATCAGTATGCAGGCAGAATACTGGTGAAATTGGCAAAGAAGCAAAAGATATAAAATATTTAAAAAACAATCCATTCAAACAATGGCCTGACATGAGAATTGTCTCGATTTCGAACAGGGCTAAGGTGCTCCGAGCCAAGAGAGACCTGACATTACCTGACATAATTTCAGTTTATTCTGTTTGACACATCTATGCCATGGAAACATAATCTTTCATACAGGTCTTACCAATTAAAAGGGGGCCAGTGATGATGGATGAATGAATGCATTCAGAGGACTAGAAAGGAAAGCTTACCTGGTGGTAAACAACATGTAAAATGCAGGGTACGGCAATGGGTCCATCTTTGATTAGTACAGTGCCTACGTGCAGCCTGAAAAGGGAGAGAGAGGTTAGTCTTCAAGTAAAGCCACCTTCTTTTCTTCTTTCTGCTTTAAAAGCTATTCCATGTTATCAGATTTTGGCCAGCTGTGTAAGGCACGACATTTCTCCCAGATTACAGCATCTTTTATTTAAATGTCAGGGTCCTCCGAGGCTCTCTGGTGGTGTACGGTCTACCACAGATGTTCAAAGCTGTTCTGAGGTCAGTAGTGGATGTGTGGGGAGACAAGGGACTGAGACTCAATCTGTACCTGCAGCTAGAAAGGTCACGGGGGGAAACTCATTCGAAAACCACAGTATTTAATATCTCACAAGAAACTGTGCAGGTACAATGTACTTTGATTTAAACTATGGTACTGAATTATTACCACATTCAAGTCAACTACTGGATTTAACTAAGTTTACCAGGTTGACAACTGTTCAAAAGTTTAGGGTCAGTACAATTTTAATATTTTTAATTATTATTACTTTAATTGAGCAAGTATGCATTAAAGGGGAACTATGCCGTTTTTTTTTTAGCTTAATTTAACTTACCTGAACAGCTTCCGAGTCATTAACGCCTGTGAGTGGTAAAAACAGCCTGTTATCAGGGGTGCTTATTTGTGCATCCTCGTTTCCTTTCCTCACGTCTGAGCTCCGCCCCCTGTTGGATGCGAGGGAAGGCTGCAAGGAAAGAAAATGAGGACGGAGGTATCAAATGAACGTTTTGTTTGGTGAAGTTTGGTCATTTAAGAAATTAGTAATATATAATAATAAAGCAAGATACCCTGTTGAAATGTGAGATATGTGGTTTATGTAAACTGCAAAGGTAAGGTATAAATTAAAATTATTGTGACCGATGTGAAGGGGGAGGAGAATTTATACATACATGTTTAGTCGATAAAACACTTCCGCATAGGATACACCTGTGCATCCTCGCTCAAAGCTCCTCACTGCAATTATAGAATTGAGATGTCCTTCAAGATGGCTGAGCTCGATCAGTTTCCGGGTCATAGGATGGAGGATGGAGGTGAGGAGGGATATTGAGAAGCACCCCAGGTCTCGCGATGTAATGAATTGCTTTACGGCACTGCACACATACACACCCCCATCCAGGATCCGGCTAGCTATGAGAACAAGGTAGGGATGGAGCTTTTCACACTATCGTCATGGCTAAACCGGCAAAAAAGAAGAAGAATATAATTCATTTATATTTATATAATTATCGCTAAGCTAGGGATAGGCTAAGCTAAAAAACAACAACAAATAAGCGGGAATTAATTTTTTGTTTTTTACGAATGTTACGAATTACGTTTGATAATACAATACAAATAATTAATTTTTTGTTGTCACGAATGTTACGAATTACGTTTGATAACACAATACAAATAATTCATTTTTTGTTGTCACGAATGTTACGAATTATGTTTGATAACACAATACAAATAATTCATTTTTTGTTGTCACGAATTACGTTTGATAACACAATACAAATAATACATTTTTTGTTGTCACGAATGTTACGAATTACGTTTGATAACACAATACAAATAATTATTTTTTTGTTGTCACGAATGTTACGAATTACGTTTGATAACACAATACAAATAATTATTTTTTTGTTGTCACGAATGTTACGAATTACGTTTGATAACACAATACAAATAATTAATTTTTTGTTGTCACGAATGTTACGAATTACGTTTGATAACACAATACAAATATACACTCTCTCAACATTCATATGCTATCCTTCTGTGTATACATACCTCAGTGGACATGGATCCGTGCGTTCGCCGGCATCTTTGAAAACAAATGCACATGAGGGAGAAGATGGGAGGGGGGAGAGTCGACAAAGAGTTTTTACGACAGGGTTGTCAAATATCTATTCCGAAGCAGTAGGGGGAGCTCTATAGAGAAACCTGCAGGCAAAAAGCAAGAATACAGCAAAGAAATTACCGAAAACTGCATAGTGCCGCTTTAAATGGATCAATGTATGAAGTGACACTGGAGGCATTCCTAATATTACAAAAGACTTCTATTTGAAACTAATACCGTTCGTTTGAACTTTCTATCCATCAAAGAATTCTTAAAAGCAAATGAGCATATTAGAATGATTTCTGAAGGATCATGTGACACTGAAGACTCCAAAAACATTATGCTCAATCTATTGCCTGCCCCTTAAAGTCACTTAATTCAAATGAAACTGTACAGGACCATTTTAAGCACTGTTTCCAAGCTCCAGTAAGATTCATCAATTAATGATATACACTCAGCATTGGATTCATCCACTGAGAACACTGATTTACTCCATGGAGTTAACAATAAGCCACAAGACACCTGAGTCACTATGGTTATCAGCATCATTGCTGTAATCCCTTCCTGTGATTTCGGCGTAACTCAAATAAAGGTGGAATAAAGGTTTGCACTTGCCTTTGGGTGAAGGGTGTCCAGAAACTTTGTCACATTAATTGATGGCTTCATTAGATCGCAATCAGAGCACTTCGGTTTGCCTCCGGGGCTCGGCTAACCCATTCCTATGCATTTGAGAATAAAGCTGGGAAAATAGGGTTTTACTGCAGTGGATATTGCACCTGTCACACCGCGAGAACCAAAAGAAAGCCTCTGTCTGCTACGAGCATAATGTAGATAAAGTAGAAGCAAGGTCGAGTTACATGGAGACTGATTGTGGTGCGATAGGATTGCGGCGAAAAAATTCAATGACAAAGTTGTTTAGTCAGATATGGCCTTTTTAGACATGGCAAGACAATCTGGGAGGAATACTTTATATCTGGAGACCATATTGTTTTGTGACTACAAGGCCTGCATCATTATTTTAGCTAAGATTTCCAAGTAAAAATCTAAGGATTTGCTGAAGGAAAAAAAAAGAAGTTATTGTGTGTGTGAAAGCAACAAGAGATAACAGTCAAACTGCAGCAAAGTACGTACAATAACTGCAGACCTATTACTGAATTACATCCACAGTGAGTGGTTTTGAAAGAGGACTATTTCATCTAATGTAGGAGAGCCGAAAGACATTTTTCGAAAACAATTGATCGCTTCAACTAGACATAGCTGCAATTATGTAATCTTTTCAGTAATAGTAGACACCCGTTTTTGTGGTGGTAGCTTAGTGGTTGTCTAGACATTCCAGGTGCAGTATGTTTCAAATCATAACAAGCAAGTCCTCGGTATAGATTCTAAAGTGTTCAACTAAATGCTTAACTTGCTTAACCAATACTATCTTAAGTTCTTAAGCCAGCTGCATGCATTAACATAACCATTATGAAGAACTAGCCTGGCCCACTCATTTATAATCCTATACAACAGACAGAGGCCGAATACCTCATCTAAGAATGACCTAATGCGTCTTCATTCTTAACAGGGCTTGGGCGCCGCATTGCATTCTGGGACGTGGCGGCCATATTGACAACTTCGCAAATGTAAACATACCAGCAAGTCGAACGAGGAGAAGCAGCTGAGTTGGGAGAAAGAAAATAAAAAAAGATGTTAAAATCCCTAAAAGGATGCTGAATTTACCAGGATACGTTTAATAGGGAAACCAGGGACCGGTATGTGGATAAAACGGCATTTTTAACGGGTTGGATCTATTTGAAATTTCCAACAAACAGTGGGAGCACAGTAGCTGCTAGTTAAGTTACCTAGTTGCTAGTTTAGTAACAGTTATAGTGCTAACAACCATTCCCACATAACGTACTTTTAACTATGTGTTTCAAAAGTGTACTTAGTAACGTTAGCTGTTTTAAGTAAAAGTTAAGTTAGTAAGCAAAACGATGCTTAAAGCAAGAGGGTAGCAACAGGACAACAGAGACTGACAGGTCCGATTGAAGGGCTAATGTTAATGTTATGAGAACATTAAAATACGGGATATTTTACAGGAAAATTCTAAAATGGGAAGACAGCGGGAAAAGAGCTCAAGCAACGTGAGAAACCCAGAAAAAGCCTACCCAAGGGTTAGAAACCTACCCAAGGGGTTTTCTTATGGGGTTAGATTTCGGTCAAAATTGTGCGCGCACACGATCATATTTTGAGCGCGCAAAAGGGCATTTCGCATGTTCGTCAAAGTTGTTTTCGTTCGCTCGAAATATTTTCTTATCCACGAGGCGAAAATTTCTCCGCAAAACTTAAAAAACGAAAAAAAGTTCAGTCAGTTCAGTTCAATGCCCTTTTGCGCGCTCAAAATGTGATCTTGCGCGCGCACAATTGTGACCGAAATCTCATCCCATATTATCAGTGCGTAGAAAATGCTAACAAAAAACAAACAAAAAAACCCAACAATTTTTGCCGTATAAATAGCATGAGAAATGACATTCGTGGTATAGATACGCACTTTTACAAGACTTGTTTTGTTCCTGAATCTCAACTCATAATCACAGTCCCTTGCTTGTCGCCATCTACTGGTGTCGCTAAAAAATCCCGACCATAGAACAACCAACTATACTTTGTGTAAAAATAAAATAAAATACAATTGCAGTAAAAATTCTTCCTCAGCATGTAAAATTTGTGATTTTACCATTTTCTTACATTAATTTACAATGGCAGGATTTTTCTGATGACTCAAGAATGAAAGGTATAGTAGCCTATTACACTGGTAGTTGTAGAGTGCCACTGGGTTATAAATTACTATTTGACAGATATTGAAGTTGTCAGTTATTCTCTATCCAGTGTCTATATGAACAGAGAAATATTTAATCGTGTACGATCTTTGACAGGAATTGCCTCCGAAGGCATCTTAGAAGGATTTGTAGTAGCCGAGGCTAAGTTTGATCCTTATCACTGAGATCCGTGACAGATCTTCGATCCTTAGAATGAGAGGTCAGTAACACCTGAATGCGTTTTTTCCCCTCTCTTTTTTTCGTAATTACAACTCTTGAGCTTCTCTGAGTGTCTGCCAAACTGTGGGTAAACACAGTATGCGGCTGATTGCCGAGTGTGTGGTTACTAATCTGCAGATGTGATGTGCTACGAAGGATAATTCGGGGTTGGTTGTTACTTTGTTGGGGCTTTAAGAAGGAAAGGAAAAACTCAAGCTGAGATGATCGCATGGGAGCCAGGGAGAGGACAACAACAGATGGATTATACCTTGTGATTGTTATAGAAACAGCCCAAATCTTTTTGCATATGAGATAGAAAGGTTGCAAGGGTTGTTTGAGAGAGCTTTATCTTCTCTATAAATCCGTTTTTTTAAAGAATATTTAGTCTTTTTCAAAGTTATTATTTGACTTCTGTGCAAAATCTGCGTGCTTTGGTTTAGCAATATACAAAAAGGCTTTTAAAAAAGAAAGAGAAAGAAAGGGATGGGGGGACGGGGGTTTAAGATTTCTGCAAGCAAAAGGGGATTAAGGCTGATTCGATGCCAAACAGTTCTTGGCAGATGGGTTCTGGTTCTTTAGGATGCCAAAAAGAGTCAATAAGTCATCAGTGCATTCAATCCTGGAGATAATACATTTAGGAGAGGGGATTAACGGACACAATAAAAACAGGCCTTTTCATCCTCTTTGCACGATGAGGACATATTCAAGGAGATATTTGTTCCTCGTCACTCTGACGCAATTCCCTACTGTCTTTCAGTGCGATTGGACTGTTCCAGCTCCAGTCCTTTTACACTGAACAGGTTCCAGTCGTACATTGTGCCAAGGGCAAATGAGCAATGGACTGAGAAGCATGCTGGAGACCAGAGGTGTGCATAATGCTGAGAGGTGCACAGTCTCATTTATAATCGCCTCCATTCAAGGCTTTGACAGTCAGAGTGTATATGAAAGCATCCCTTGAGTGTTTTTGCCGTTGTATCAAATGATGACATTGCGTTTTATTCTTCACAATCAGATTTTACAGCCTTGTTTCGACCGAATGCTTCAAAGCTATTGATCAATAATATATCACTTGTTATTCCATTAATAAGTCAGGAACATGTCTGGGTCATATTTCATTCCGAAATCAAATGAAAGAAACATTATGTTTTAGTACATATAGCATCACTATCAATTTAGTTATTTAGATATGAACTCCCAGGCGACTTTAGGTGCTCGTTAATGCAAATATCTAATCAGCCAATCACAGAGCAGCAAGTCAATGCATTTAAGATATGTAGACATGTGCTGCGTCCCAATTCGCTTACTTAGACTACGCCCTAAAAGTATGTACTCTTTTTAGCTACACACACTTTTGAGTGTGTAGCTAAAGAGAAGGCAAGCTTTGGGACATACTATCACGTCATCTTTAACGGACAGCTGTCGCGTGCTGCGTGCATCCTGTCACCGTGAACTGACATGTCAATCATCTTGTCACAGTTTAAATCCTCCATTCTATCTAATTTGATTACCTATCATTTCATGCAGAGACTCTCCTCGTGTTTGCAAATTGAAAACAATGATCGATGTACCTAATAAGGTGGTGTGTGTGTATATATGTGCACATTTACATTACATTTACATTTATTCATTTGGCTGACGCTTTTATCCAAAGTGACTTACAATTGCTATATATGTCAGAGGTCGCACGCCTCTGGAGCAACTAGGGGTTAAGTGTCTTGCTCAGGGACACATTGGTGTCTCACAGTGGATTCGAACCCGGGTCTCTCACACCAAAGGCATTATCCACTGAGCCATCACCACCCCATATATGTGTTAAAAAAAATATATTTTTTACGACAGACTTTTTTTATTTCACTTTAAATATTGAGAATCTAATGAGGATCATTATTAAGAATGAAAAAAAAAAAAAAACTAAAAAAAAGTGGATGCATTGTGATGTGTCAGTGACGTTTGATCCACACACACCTGATGGCCACCACACTATAATCATCATAGGTCTAAATGGCATGTGAAATTGCCTCTTACCTTCTCTTTTGCTAATGACCAGGGTGTTAGAGCTCAAACTAAAGAAGCCATGTGAGTGGTGATCTACATCTTCTCTAAAGGGCAATTTGTCTGAGTAATTGCTCTAGCAAAAATCTATCACTGTCACACCTCCTTGGCCAATTAACACTTGCGGAAGAAAGGAGAACGAGAAGGAAGTGGTCAAGGAAGAAGAGGTGCAAAACAACTTTACGTGCACAATTTCAGATACAGTGGGCAAAAGAATTTAAAAATGCAATATGAATTGTCATAAGTTTGAAAAGCATACATATTTGACAGGCGGTGGTTTAGCAATTATACTGATCTTTAAATGGCATTTAAAGCTCAGAGTCTATAATAAGTGTGACAATTTGAATAAGGGTTTTATATTACATATTGAGCAATATAATCTTGCTGTGTTTGGATGTAATTTGGATAATAAGTAGTACTGTAATATGTAGTGTGTCTAATTGAGCATGTCTTAACAACGTAAGGCCTGGATGTTTTGACATGTTATTTAATTGTAAAGTATTTATACATCAAGGCATTTGTTGTAATGCCTTTAATAATTTTACAAATATAAATATTACAAATCCCTTTTTACTGAAATATAGTTAAAGGTGCTATATAACAGTAATGATCACAACTGTGGAATATGAAACTAAAAACAATTAAAAGTAAAATGTCCAGATGTATAATG